TTTCAGAAAAAAATGTAAAAAAAAGATGTCGTTTGCATATCACAGCTACTAGTAATGCTGCTACATTTGATGACTTGTATATCCTATATTCCTATTTGACAACACGTTTTACCGCCAAATAGATGGTGTAGCTATGGGCAGTCCACTTAGCCCTGTTTTAGCAGATATATTCATGTCTAACCTTGAAAGAACAAAGCTGAAGCATGCAATCGACGAAACATCTTCCTACTGTCGTTATGTTGATGTCACATTTATAGTGTGCAAAAATAAAAGTTATGCTTCACACTTACTAAGATTATTCAATGGTGCACACGCCAATATTGACTTCACTATGGAACATGAAAGTGACGGAAAGTTTCACTTCCTCAACATCGCCATGGAACGCCTAGAAGACGGTAGCCTTCAAAAGTCAACTTATCAAAAGCTCACATGGAAAGGACAATACTTGCATTTTAATAGCTTTTGTCCACATAGCTTTAAACGTGGTCTAGTCAAAACTTTGTACTATAGAGCGAGGAGAATATGCTCTATAGAGAAACTAGAGGAGGAGTTTGAGTTCCTTGAAAATATATTGAAGAGAAATGGGTATCCTCAAAGGTTTATCAACAAGTATGGAAGATCTAAAGTCACAAATGTAAAACAAATCACAGTAGAAAAAAAGCCAGTCTACTTTCAGCTTGATTATAAAGGTGAAAATATTGCAGCGATGATCAACAGAAGGCTGAGTACATCACTAGCCATAGCGTATCCTGCAGCTAAGCTCGTTCCCGTCTATCGAACAACTTGCTCTTTGGTGCAATCAAAAATCGATAGATATCCTTCTCATGTTACCTCCAACTGTGTATACAAATTTACATGTATCTTCGGGAGCAGTTACATTGGAAGGACAGAAAGAAGGGTATATCTGCGATTTTCTGAACATGTACCAAAAAGCTTACGTCTAAAGGGAAACAATGTTTTAAACAGTGCCATCACCAGGCATCTTCTCGACACGGGTCATGAGGTGGACGTCGAAAAGTCGTTCGAAATTATCAATAAGTAAAATAGCTCATTTCTCCTTAAGTTTGCTGAAGCCATTTCCATCAAGCGCCTGAAACCTGATTTATGCGTCCAGAAAGAAGCGGTTATCAGCCTTTCTTTGCCCTGGTAACTGGATAATTTCACCTCTCTTTCCTCCGAATGTGAAATGCTAAAAGTTTCCATTGTGTTTGATGATTATTGTTCGGAATAGTGGTTAATATTGCATATTTATATATGTATATATTTTTAGTGTATGAGTATACTGATCGATTGATTTTTGTTTAAACTGAACTCTGTGCAAGTATGTTATAATTTTTGTTGTAGATGTATTTAATAATGTCTTTGCCATGTAAGCAGCTGACGAGAAGGCAACGAAATAAAAGATGGCACCATTTTATTCTGCTAAAACTGTAGTTCTTGCTTTGTTCAAATTCATTAAGGGGAATAAATGTATGAAATACATAAAACCTGTAGGTACTTATATTCCTTTGTTTTTCAAACCACAAGCTTTGAAGTTTTGAGGAGCGGTAGTGTTGTCTCATCTCTCTTCACACGGGGTCGGTTAACTACCAGTTAAATGAGGTTTAGGAGTTGAGTTAATAGAGAAGATTTATAGCTCAGGTGGATGATTTGCAATTAGTTGTGTTCTCTGAAAAGAGCTGGTTGGTTTAGTTTCGGCGGCGCTTTCGTCGTCCCCTCTTCTAGAAAACATCCACTTTCAGCGAAATTTTTAGCATAAAGTGAAATGATTTAAATTTTTTCCATGAGTGATGTAAATGCGTCTCACAGTAACCATCTTTACATGTGTATTGAACGTTTTTATTGACTTGGATTTTAAACTTTCTGGTCACCTGATTTACTCTTTATTAGTTGGTATATTTGGTCTATATTAACGCTGTTTGTTAATCCGTTGGAGTACACCAGGCTTCTACGAATTCTGTGTTCCCTCCGTCTAAAATTTCGACATTATCACAATCATTAAACTTATGTTCATAATTGTCTATATGCATTGATATGTTAGAATATTTCTATCATGTCTTTTCTCAGCTGATTTGTGTTTCTGGATTCTAATTCAAGGGGGATGCCCACTTTGGCCGATGTAATGCCTGTTACAGTTCATACGTGCAATTTATTTTGTAAATGGTGTTAATTTTATTCCCTTTTTCTGTTGGATCTTTCAGTTTGCACAAAATCGAATTAAGTGATTTGACTGACTTGTGTACTATATCTATATCAAACGGTTTTATTATTCTAGCCGTTATTTCAGAGATATTTCTGATGTATGGTAGGATGAATTTCTTTTCGGTCTTTGATGATGCTTCTTTGTTGGTGTTTAGATTCGATTTTAAACACTTTTTGATGAAATTATGATGGGGATATCCATTCTTTTGGAAGACTGTTTGTAGGTATTTTTCTTCCATTCTTTTCAACTTTGGAGTGCTACATGGTGTTTAAACTCTTTCTTCTAAACAATGTCTGCACACAGTTTCGTTTGTGAGTTATTGGATTATTGCTAGTATATTTAAGTATTTGATCTGTGTATGCATTGATTTTCTATATACTTGTGTTTCTAAATTTCCTGTGTTGGTTCTCCTGATTAAGACATCTAAAAATGGGATTTTGTTACCTAATTCTTGTTCTCTCGTGGTGAATTTGATGTCTTCATATGTGCTGTTTATTAATTTATGGGTATATTCTAAATCATTTCTCTTAATTATTGCAAATGTATCATGTACCCAGATTTTCGGTTTAATTATAAGTAGAGCTATTGATTCTAATCTTTCCACAACGGCTACAGTTATTAATCCTGATATAGGCGATGATCCCATTGGTGTTCCTTTTTATCTATTCATATATTCGAGTATTGAATTGGAAGTATGTTGTGTAAGGCGTAATCGTATGAGTTCTATCCAAGTTGAACATTGCGTTTTTATGTTTTCATCACTATAGATTAATTGTTGCATAGTTTCTGTTGCTAATTTTGGACTAAATGAAGTAGGTATAATGCTGTGACATCAAAGGACACCATTATTTCATTGTCTTCTACTTGAATGTTTTTGATTTTCTCTAAAAATTGGATTGACGAATTGATAGAATGGTCGCATGATTCTGTTAGGTAATTTAATTTCCTGAAAAGTTCTTTAAATAGATTATATATTGGTGTTCCTGGAAGCGAAACGAATGGTCATAAGGGAATGATGTTTGGTCTGTGTAGTTTTGGTCTACCATCGAAACGAGGTAAAATAAGTCCGTTAGATTTAAATCACCATTGATTTCGTCTTGTAATTTGTCCTGATTTCGTTAGTTTATTTAACGTTGTTTTGATTTTGTTATCTAATATTTGTATAGGGTTTTTTGTCAACTGTTGATACACATTATTATCTTTGAGTAAATCCTCTGCTTTCTTTATGTAGTCTTCTGCGTCGAGGATTGCTGTTATTCTTTCTTTATCAGTCGTCGGTAGAATAACAATATATCCTTTCTATTCTTCAGTTTCTTCAATGCATTTTGCTCTTCAATGGTAAGTTAGGAATAATGTCTTTTCTGTTTGATTATAGGTATGATACATTGACGTATTTCTCATGATGTGGTTGACAAGTACTCAACCAGTAGACCACAGATGCATAAAGTGTTTGTTTAGGCTTAAATTATCCAGAACACATATTTCATGTGTATTAGATTAAAAGCCACAAACTTATCCTAGTAGGGTTGATGCCGTTGCTGAGTTATTCAAGCATGAAGTGTAAGTGGAGTAGGACTCGAACCTGTGTGACCCAGCGGCTGGAAACTGAGTGCTTAACTCCATCAATGAGCCACGTTTTCAACTTTTGACTTCAGTTATCGGACAAGAATCATTTGGTGTATTTTTTTCAAATGTGGTTTACTCGTAGGACATGATATAGAGTTACAGCTCCGGTCATGGGGTAATACACGTGGAGTCAGAATTAGTATAAGCCTATATTAATGTTCAAATTTTATATTGAGGAATGAAATAGGCAAAGGCGCTGGCGATGATCCATCACACATTTTGAAAGTTGCACATCAGTATTAATAGAATGATAACTGATAAAATCTTGACACCCAAGATGCATATCCAACCACTTATCGAAGAGCAAGTTAATTATGAAACAGTCCACTTTGTTACACTTTACGACAGGTGGAACTATGATGTAGACAGGCAGGTAATAGTGAAACCACATGTAAAATTTCAACTGATCAGATGGCTAGATGATGTCTTCATCGACTGAATTGACCACAGTCTGCCTTCCTCGATGAGCAATGCCACTGGTGGTGAGAACATAGGACACCTTCAAGCTACAAGGCTTGAAGTTTCTGTAGCAGTGTTTATTATTTTACAGGATGGGGTTGCTAGCCTCGTGCTCAACCTTTCCTCTTTACCACCTTTTTTTTGTGGCTTAGCGAAGTAAGGGAGTGCATCGCTTGGGACTCGAACCCCGGACCATGTGCATGGTCGGCGAGCGTCCTAACCGCTGTGCCACCGACGCACCGCTGACACCAATGATAGAAGACAACTAGCCTTTTGGTATCTTCCATTGAAAGTGGGAGATTATTAGCAAACACATATGCTGAAGAAAGTGGAGATGAATTTGGCACACGCTGACGAGACCGTTTCAAAGAAATCATGTGCCACCCCTATAACGCTTCAAGTGGAACCCAAATAGGAAAAAAACCTTGAGCATCCAAGGATAACATTAGTGAGAAAAAAAAGTTGACAGTCTCTAGACAGTCGTGGGCAATCCAATTAGAAAGGATCGCAGAGAACAGGATAAAATTGGAGGTATGCTGAGCTGTTGAAGTTAGTCCTATATTCCCACTTGGAACCCAAGGGGATAAATAACAAAAATAATAATAATAACAATAGATAAAAGGAGGTGGTTAGGGGTAATAAAAACAAACGACAACAAAAGTAAATGGGATATTTTAGAAAAGCTTTATCCTCCTCCTCCTCATCGGCTTACCTCAACAGTCCCGTTAAGCACTACAGACCAAGTATCCAATTTTTCATTATCATTTAAAACAATTTGACCAGCTTCACGGACAATGGCGAGTACCATTACAGAACAAAGTGAACGACAGGTAGCTTTAGTTAGATTAGAGAATGCCTGAAGAAAAAAAATGAACAATAAAGTAGGCATGAGAAAACAAGAATCAGATTAATGAATAGTATACATGTACGATCAGGTTATTCTGCTTGTTTTATTCTCTTGTTTGCTATTCCAAGTATCCAGTCTGCCCTATTATCACCAACAGTGATATTCTTAATTGTGGTAGACTGGATTATGGCGTCAAACTGTGCGTTAGGAGCTAGAAGACAGGAATACGTTGGACCACCGATGAGAAGGACTCTCAAAGATCTGAATTCCACGTGTGAATGATTTATATTGAATGTCACATATAATACACAACCTCAAAAACTTGCAAGCGAAAAAAGCAACAAACTGGTGGAAGAGTCAGGCAGAGAAGACAGAGGTGAGGTGATGAAGACAACCAGCTAAGAGGCAACAAAAACTAGTATCGATCACCATCAAAAGGAGAGATTCAACACAGGTTACTTCCTTCACTTCCTTCACTAGGAAGCCAGCATCGCTTCAACTACAGGCAATAGGAATAGATGAAGATATCGAAGCCAGCCAGAATCGGTGAGGGCAAGATACTCCTTCGTCAACTTGAAACCAGTTTGGAAATCTTCTGCAATGACTCAGTCAGCACACTGAACAAGATTCGCACTTTCAAAACCAATGTAAAGTCGGTCCTTCTATACGGGTCAGAAATGTGGACTATGTTTTGAACGACTTTCATCAACAGTTGCCCTCTTCGCTAGGCTCCATACTCGGGCCTCGGGACTCTAGGAATCAATGGCTGGAGACAATAGGTGACATAGCTCAAAATCGTTGTCAATGGCTAGCGCAGATGTATTCAGTCTCTGTAATCTTTCATATTCCTTTCTACCATTACCCATTCTGTTTCACTCTTATACTTGTCAAACTCTATTGATTCTCTTCACTCATCACCTTCTTGTCTACCTTTGTGTGCTATTTGGAACGTGGCAATTCGAACTGGTGCACTTCGGTGCCAAGTTCTATGTTGAATCCAGACAGGCAGAGGCTCCATACTGAAGATCAAACAGCCAGATAGAAAGGATTAGCAACAAGAAACTCTGCAGTGGAACAAACCATAAAAGGCGAGAGCCGACAGCTCAACAAATATGTAGGTGAAAATGGAGATGGGTGGATCAGGCATACATTGAGAAGACTGTTGAATGATATCGTGCACAATGCAGACCATTGTTCGGTTCGAGTGGAATCCCAATGGGAAACGACGAGTAGGTTGTCGGTGCTACGGTGACATGGAGATCATGTGGCGAGGAAGAGATGAAAGATAATGGACAATCGTGAACCCAGATGAAGATGTATGGTTGAAGGTCTATGTTCCACTCGGAACCCAGGGGGAATAAAAAGAATAATAATTCCAAATATATCAAGGAGATGACAACATATTGTGATCTGAATATATATTTTTGATTTACAAAGGAATCTGGGACTACTTCTCATGTCAAACTGTTCAGTCTATATAAAAATAACGCATTTTTCTTCCATGTATTACCAGTTCACCTAAGTGGCTAGCCAACTCTTTAGCGGCCTCAACCAAGTTCCAACTACTGATATCCATCAGTAGTATATACATATACCATCACGAAATTATTAACTTTATACTTTGAATAAACACTTAGAACATAAATTAAGCAGTATAAAAATACACGAATCTTATTTTTTTTATATATTAACGAAAGGTATTTACAACATGCGTAACAGATTAGAAGATGAATTTCGAACTATAGCTTCAATTTACACAGTTAGCGGAGGTGAAACTTCATTATAATTTCCTTAGTGGGAACCACATTATTCAGACTATTACAATATGTGATCTGTTTGATGCCATAAATGGGAAATCAAGAGAGCAGAAAAATTCATATAAAACTATGTACTAGCCAGGCAGATAGAGGTGATCTAAGTACTAGTGGACCATCGTTTCATTCGTCTGGGGCCAAACTCATCATCAGCAGTGTACCCAGTTAAGTCATTAGCACGGAGAGTCTTCGAATCAGTTCAAACCACTCGATCTGACTGGCTGGTTAGCGCAAGCACTGCTGGTTGATATGATTGGTGTGCCACTACTACTACTACTAATCCCAATTAATTAGTAGTATATAGTTTTACGCGAAACTATAATCCCAGTTAATTTGGACTCACTATAAATGAATAGCTTCATTTCAATGCATGATGCAACTTTGTGACTATATCCTTCCGTAACAATAAAAGTTCTTTGTCTGATTTCCTTTTTGTACAGTGAGTATATCTTGACGACTGACTGAAAAACTCCGCAAATATCTCGTTATTTACTCTACTAAATGTAAACAATCGCAATCCGTTAGTTATATAAGTATCTGAAGAGGTTACAGAGGTCAGTAGGGTGGCGGATAACCCCTTGGCATTCTAGGCTCAGTGTGAACACCATCACCGACTGACGATTCAGCAAAACATCCAGTTGACAAGTCCCAAATAAGAATGAAATGCACGTTCTTCTATCTTCTCTTACCCTCCTCCCATCACTACCAGGGAAGAACTTCTTGTTCACTTTAATGATTAAACAATCTCCACCAGGACCTGGAGAACTCGATAGTAGCAGTATATAAAATAAGCAACACGAAATCGAAAGTACCAATAAATAACACCCTATTAGAGAACCATTGGAAAATCTGGAAAGCTAGCTGTTTCGTCAGCCTACTTTGCGACTCTTCCTCAGTACACACCTACACTGCGGGGATTGAAACCAAAGACCTTCCGGTTACAATGCAAGCTAGCTCGTAGACCATTTAGCCACTGGGGACCCAATCCAATGGCCAGATCATGAATTCTAACTTCTGTCAATTCATTACATAGAGCAACCACTTCTCAATGTTTTCTTCGATCAGTTACTACCTCATCTTCAATCAGGCAGTGAGATGGGGTTGTAGTAAGAAGCCGTGACCAGAAGGGTACAGCAGGCTGAAGACGAAGCAGTAACTCACAGAATATGACATTCGGAAGTGGTCATGCATGCTATGAATTGGCAGAAGTTAGAATTCATGGGTTAGCCATTGGATCGGTTGGGTCCCCAGTGGCTTAATGATCTACGAGCTAGCTCGCCTTGTACCCAGGAGGTCCTAAGTTTGAACCCTGGCGGTGGGCGCGCACTCTACTGATGAAGAGTCCCAAACTAGGCTAGCGAAACAGTTAGCTGTCCAGTACTCCTTGCAGGTTTTCCAATGGTTCTCTAACAGGATGTCAGCTCATGATGTAATCCTCCTCCTCCAACCAATCAAAGAAACTTCCTACAAAATCAATACTTGAAAAATAATATCCTAATTGGGACAATGCTCCGGTGGTCCAAAATACGATAATTTATCACGATCCTTTTTTTAATATTAAGATCATATATTAAAACAGTTTAAGTGCAAATATTTTATATATTTATGCTTCGACTACCACGTCTAATTCTCACGCTCTCCTTCCGTTTTTTTTCTCTATCAAACAAGTGAGCGAGAGAAAATCACAAAAGTTTGATGTATATATATATATTACTTTTGAAGTAGATAATAAATTTCACAAAATAAAAAAGGTTGCTGGCACAATGCCAAAAAAAACTAACTAACTTCATTTTATAAAATTGGAACAGTTATTTTTTTATGGAAACACAGCTGATATATGCATATGTGTATGCTTTGACTATTATATCGATATTATTACCATTATTATTATTATTATTATTATTATTATTATTATTATTCGAGCTATGACAGTTGATGATGCAACTCTGTAGACTAGCCAGTTGGAAATACTTTTAGCAGCCTATGCACTCAGCGGCTAAGTAGCTATACTGAAGAATTGACTGTCATTTGATATCAGTGTCGAAGATACGAATCTTGTCGCTGATGCTGAATGCAGCAGAAGAGTAATGAACGCTTGTGTTTGCTTCCTCTGATTCTGGCTGGCTGGTTTTATAACATCCTTATCCGTGCTACCACCTGTGGTTGGAATAATGGTGCCTAGGAAGGTGAAACAGATGACTGCCTCTAAGGTTTTTCCCGTTGATCGTGATTGATATTTAGGCAATGAAAGTTTCATAAGTAAACCATTCACAGTTTAGTGGACACAACTACACCAAAATCATCCACCCGAGCCACAAATTTTCTTCATTATATCGAAATTGTATGCAAAAGCGATTATACGGCCTAAGAGAAAACTGAACCCGACGAAAGTAGACAATTTTGTTATTATTATTATTATTGCCTGAATGAAGGTTATTCATAAAATTTCAGATCAAACAGATTAGAGTATTGATGATAAATTTTTAATCGTTTTATTTAGATAATCGAATTATGAAAAAGAAGTAGCCGAGTCAATTGCATCATAAGACACACATTTGAACAGTGGTACTAAGTATACGTGCGATTGCAGTATCATTACAGTGCACGGTATAACACACACAACGGTATTCTGCGTCACATAGTTTATTGATCACCTCTTTTGTACACTTAATCGATGACTTCTAATCGATATACTTCGGGATTACTCGACTACATTTATTAGTTTTATTTGATTTTGACCTACATACGACTGCTTATCTGGATGTAACTGCATCCCACCCAACCTCCAATGGGTGGTGGTGGTATTCCAACTGAGACTTTGACACGGTGTTCATCTAGTAAGCTATTGAGTCATAACAGGCACTCATTGCATAACACGTAACATGTGAATTCTTTGCAGACCGACTTCATTAGGGTATGAATACCCAGTCCCTATTGTCAGGTCGGTGCCTAGTACGGAGGCACCAACAGTGTTACGTAACTTTTGGTGGAGAAGGATTCAGTGAGAACTCTGCGACCCATTGCAGTTATATTTATTGCTTTGGTTGTTAGACACAGTTATATATACTTATATATCTCGTCCAAGTTTGGGACTCGTCACCGGTTTGCATCTCTAGAGGTTCGAACTCAGACCCTTCCGGTCACAAGGCAAACTCGTAGACGTAGACAGGTCAGCCGCTACTGAGACCCGATTCAACGGACTGACTAACTAGTTTCAACGTAGTAGGCTCAATGGCCAGTCTATGAAAGGTAATTGCTACCAATTTGTGACAGACACCTGCCAATATCATCGCTGACGCGTATCTGTTCTCACTGTCAACCTGTTGGTGAACCCTACTGGTCACAACTACTCAAACTAGAACTCCAGATAACTAGCGAGCACCCGATTAATTTTCAAGAATTTGTTTTCCAAGCTCGATCACTGACTGGACGGTTGAGTCAGGCGTGCTCCCCTCCAGTAGCTGAATGATCTGACTAATAGTATTTCTTGGTTTTCACTATTTCCCTAACTGATATCAATCCATGATCACAAACGTGAAAAACAAACTAAATCCCTAAATACATATATATCAAGTGAAACAATGAAATGGAGTTGTACAGCGTATTTATTATCCTAAAAGTCAATCTGAACGAAGAATATTCTTTTCAATGCATCCTTCTCCACTTCAGGTTCTTACAATTATAAAAAATGGAATATTTGTGGTCGTTACAATAATGAGAGCCAGTTATGCGGCGGATACATTTTCAACGTAGAATAACAGATTAGCAGTCATGGGGTGTCAAAATAAATACTGGACATTGCATCGATGTCAACACAGTTTTCAGGGTTATATACCGAATTCCGAAGTCGTTATCACGTACAGTTAGTCCGCTTACGTCTCCTACACATAGCTGAAGCTGTTGCAATAAGATCATCGACTAAACCGGAACTTTGTATCCCAAAAATGAGAACACGTCCAGACGTTGTTCCTACCGTGACCAAACTTGGATTGATGATTCTTCTTCTCACCAAGAGTGCTCCTTCCCCTTAACCCTCTTGGTTTTTTTTTCTTTGCTTATTATTACAAATATTATTATTCGTCATAATTTATGCCTTTCATGCAAACATTCCTCAATACTATCCGGACTTATTATTAGTGATATTATCTCTTTTCTCAATATATGCCTCCATCTGTTTCATTTAACATATTCGTTATTTCATTATGAACCTCTCATTGCAGTCCTACTATCTCCTGTTAAACACAGACCACTTTGTACTAGCCACTCACTCGCTCACCGGACAGTTTTTATAACCTTGAACTGATTTGTCGATTTTCCTACCCCACACTCTACAAATCCATTATGATTAATCATCACCACTTTCTCCCATTTTACAATATTTTGCAATCGATTTCAGCCCAGAGCACCTTTGTCTCACACACAAATACGACTATTTATTTTGACATCCCATAACAACTAATTTGTTATTCTACGCTGAAAAATGTATCCGCCGGATAACTGACTGGCTATCATTATTGTTAAGACAACAAATATTCCATTTTTTATAATTGTAAGAACCTGAAGAGAAATTATTGAACAAGTTAACTTCAAATGGGAGTAGCGCTTGCTAACCAGCTTCACTACGACTTAAATACTGAATGGCTATTTCTCCTGTGGGTAGAAGAGCTCATCAACTACGAGAGAGCTGAATCACTACTCCAAGTTAACCAGAATTCTACCTGGCTAGTTAGTTAGTTAGTTGCAACTACTCACATATCAACCAATCAGTAATATGTGCTGTTAAAACGATTATTCATGCTTTCTTGATTACTATTTATAGTATGACACATCATGGTTTGACATCGGTTAGAGAGAACCATTGGAAAGCCCGTTGAAAGCTTTGGACAGGTGTTTCTTCCTAGTTTGGGACTCTTCATCAGTATGTACCCACACTGTGCGGGGTTCGAATCCAAGACCTTCCGGTTACTAGACTAGCGAGCTCGTAGACCATTAAGCCATTGGTCACCCGATCCAATGACCATTGGATGAATTCCAATTTCTGCCAAGTCACGCATGATATAGCGTGGCGACCTGAAGTACCCCACTGGTGATGACTTCTCACTATTTATAGTGTCAAGTAGGCCATCGACTTTCAGTTATCGATGGACAGTTTTTCCAAACGTGTGTTTGACAACAAGTGGATGCATGGTACAACCAATGCAGTCTCAGCTGCACAGGAAGAAGTGAATTGGTATGTACATGTGTATTGATGTAGCCGACAGTGATAGCTTGTCTTACACGGGTTAGTTAAATAGTTATTAGGAAGTAAAGATTTGTCCGTTGATTGGCAACAAATCATTTTTTATTGTGAGGGATTTTGAAAGCTGTTTTCAAAGAATTTTGGTCTCAATATGACTTTTAAATTCAAGACTCTGAAGCAAAATCACAAAGGATTTAATGCATTTGCGCCGTTTTTAAGTGATTTGATGCAAATCATCAATACTCTCAAGTTATTGCTCCTCCGCACCCCCCCCACCCCGGAGGATTTCAGCTGGGTAGTTTACACCTCCTCGTTGTCACACAAATACGACTATTTTGTTTCGACACCCCATAACACTACTAATCTGTTATTCTACGTTAAAAAAAATGTATCCGCCGGATAACTAACTGGCTATCATTATTGTAACGACCACAAATATTCGAGTTTTTATAATTCTAAGAATCTGAAGTGGAGAAGCATGCATTGAAAATAATATAACTTATTCTTTGTTCAGATTAACTTTTAATACTTCATGCGATATGGGAATATTTCACACTAATCAAATCTTAACTTTATTATCATCTATTATCATTAGCAGTGGTGTATTTTCTTTTTCAAGACTCTTTTTTAACAGAAACGTATTTTTAACTGCCTTTATAAAAATGACATAAATGATAAATTTGCTTTTTATATCTCATTACACATGAAAAAATGGTTGTGATTGATTAAAAAGCTTCATGGCTGTTGTTGTGTGTGTGTGCGTGGTGATGATAAAAAACAAAAATAATGCAAGATTGGAATGCTTCAACAACCTCTATTGAATAGATCAGAAATTTTTTTTAAAAAAAATTGAGTTGAAAGTGACAAGAACAACAAAAATCAGACGTGATAACTACTTTTTTCTACAAAAAATGTGAAGGAGAAATGACAGTTAACCGATTTTTTTTAAAGATATATATTACTGTGAATAGAAGCAATACTTACCGGTAATTGTTCAACATTTTCCAGAAGTAAATCAATATCCTCCTGTGTACGTTCTGAGGGTAGTTTTAAAATCGACTCCCAAAAAGCATCACGAATAGACTGTTTATAAAAACAAAATAAAGTAAGCAATACCGAAAAAGACCATGAGTGATATGTATATCCACATGATGTGTGTTTTGTTTTTGTCAGTCTATTATATTTTGCTATGTGTATATGGATCGATATTTCATTATAACTGACAATATGCTTTTGTCTGTCCACTAACTAAATAAACAATGTATGACCTTGTTATCACATGACATTACAACCAATCATGGTAAGACGTTATCTTATTGGATCATGTGTATTAGCCATTTTCATATATACTCTTGCTTTATTATTCTTGTTCCCACATTTCGTACATCTAAGTACCCTTCCACTCACACACTTGTGTGACATTTATTTTCGTTGTCTGGAAAATACAAGTATCATCGTAAACCTGGTGGTCTTCTGATTTCCCTCTTTCCGCGTCAGGACTATTAACTACTCGACGAGTACATAACAATGAGATAAGAGTGGGTAAAAAAACAAAACAAGAAGATTAGAAAAAGGCTCAACCAGTGTAACGGAACTACCACAACAGGATGAAGTTGTTGGAAATTCTGTTTTTTTGTTCCACCACCAAATAGTCACCGATGAAATTGGCTGCTGGTGGTGCTCTATATGCTATCCCAATAGCTAAATGCTCAACGAGCTGGTCTGGCCATCCTGAAGCTCCTGGGTTTGATCCATAGTGATGCGGTCATAGGTGAGTACTGATGAAGAGTCTGACATTAAGTACAGGTTGGAAAAGAGCTAGTGATGGTCAGACTAAAACATGGTTTCATCAGTCAATCAAATTCATAACAGTTAATTCAAGTCAACCATCAAGCGATGTAGGGTGGTGTAGGCTTCCTGACTAGTTGGGGTCCTCGAGTTATTAAGAATCTGACTTGCTATCACCAGGGAATAATCTCGTTGACTTAGAATATGCAGACGATATAGTCTTTCTAGGCGAGGACGCTGACAAAATAGAGCAGAGTCGTGTAAACACCTTGAGCTGCAATCTTGGTATGTTTGGCATGCGATTCGCTCCCGCCAAATGTAAGATGATGCTGCAGGACTGGATTGGGCTACACTGACTCCTAGCTTAGAAATAGGGAGTGAAGTGGTTGGTGGAGCGTGTTGACCATTTCAATTATTTGGGAAGTTGCGTCAGCCAACGCCAGCGGGTTGATCGCTGACGGAATCTCAGAACGGATACCGAGAGCTAGTTTCGCAAATGCCAGTTTACACCGTCTCTGGCGTAGACATGATATCCGGCTGGCTATCGATCAAAGGGCGCGTGTACTGCTGAGTAGTACGCATGTCTCGCCTAGTCATCGCCTTCCTCGACGACAGGCAACGTTAACTGACAAAGGGTTAGGCTGGAAAAGACCTAGTGGCGATCAAACCAAAAAATGGAACCAGTCAGTCAAATCCACAACAGTTAGTTTAAGCCACCCAGTCACGTAAGAAGGTGTAGACTTCCTGCTTGGGGTCCTCGGGATGGTAAAAACCAATGAAGGCTGGAGATAATTGGTACTATGGCTCAAAATGGTTGTCGATGTTAGTGCAGATGCATTCGCTACTCTTTGTGATGAGTCACATCCAATAAAACTCTACTGTTCTGTCCTATTAGTATTCTTTTCGCCTCATATTTCTGTTTACCTGCCCCCCCTCTTTGGAACTTCTCTTTACTCTCTTCTCTTGCTTTGTGCCACGAAAAGCATTTCCAACAGGCTACTGTAGACTTTTATCAACAGCTAACGACTTTCGCTGGATCCATGTTGAAGATTGAATGGCCAACCGACCAGGAAGAATTAGCAACAAGAAATCCTAGAAACGAACCAACACACAAGAACCTGTTGCTCAATGCATATGCTGAAGAAAGTGTAGATGCGTCGGACATACACACTGAGGAGACCGTAGAATGCCATTGTGCGATGGATATCGAGTGGGGAACGACAAGTTTGGCGTCATTTTGAGGTTGACATGGAGGAGATCGTTGTGTGAGGAAGAGATCAGAGCCTATGGACTATTTTTGAAACCAGCTAATTAATGAGGAAGGTAGAAAAAAGGACAAAGTGGAGATGTGCTGGTGAAGTCTTACATTCCACTCGGAACCCAATAAAATAAATAAATAACAAATTTACAATGAGAGACACGGATGATTGTTTTAATACACTCGACTTTCATCCGATTAATTGGGGGGGAGGGGCGGGGGTTCGAATCCCGCCTTAACTAATTCACATCTTGAATAACTCGATAATCCTCAACACAGTGAGTGCGGCTCATTATACATAAAATGAAGACTATCACATACAGTCACATGTAGCTGTCTTGACTCGAAATTAAACTCGATGGCAGACATACATGTATCCATTTTCTCTCTGAACTCGTAGATCTGTCAAATTCTCACTATTCAACTTGTTTCTATTATTTCTGTACCTTTAGGTAAGTGAGACACATATGGTGATTTGAACTGATGTACTTTTATGCAACGGTATACGACGTAGAGTTTAATTTCGTTTTTAGACAATATAACAGTAGATGAATAGTCAAGTAAGGATAGTATTCACTATATAATAAGAGTATTGATTTCTTAGTTTTAAAAATTAATGAATACTCATTCAACGTTACTGTTTCTCAGAAGATTTCAATATAGAAAAAAAAAATCCCCAATTAAGACATTTAGAAAACATCTCATTCCTAGACGTCTTCATGGCAAAGAAAGAAGATGACACACTAAGAAGGAGTGTGCATAGGAAACCTACAACAACAGGTCAGTAGACTCATTTTTTTGAGTTTTGTACCATTGAAATATAAAGGCGTAACCTGGGAAAGTGTCTGGTTCATCGAGCTAGGTTAATCTGTTCAGACGACTGTCTCAATGAGGAGCTTAAGATGATTATTAGAGAATTATTTAGAAAAAATGTTTATCCAGATAAATTCATTCAGTGAAAATATGAATTCAGCACCTATGAGAGTCAGTATGGCTACAGTTCTGAAAAAACCAATGTTCAGAAAACTGCAGTTACTCCCTCGGTGACAACATCAGCGAAATAATAACACAGCGAGCATCCGAAGAATGCAGTTAAAAGAGCTTATTATGCAGCAGAGGTGGTACGTTGTCTCTTAACAACCACCCCTATTCTACGTTCCAGAAATAACGATAAACTACCTAAATTTGCCTCCTCTTCTATGTGTATCTACCACTTTGACTGCAGCTGCGGAGCCAGCTACATCGGGCGAACAATTAGGCAGGTTCATCATCGTATTTCCGAACATCATCCAGCATGGTTAAGCAAGGGACAAACAAAATCTATTCGTAGCTCTATTTTAGCCCACCTTGTAGATAGTGAGCATAAGGTTGATGTTAATACTGCATTTAAAATTATTTATCGCATTCCTACTAATCTTAATTTTGCTCTACGAGTTCGTCTTCTACATACCTACAGCTGAAGCAATAGGAATCCACTTGAAGAAGAAGCCAAACCTGTGTGTTTAGAACAAATTTATATAGCCACTTTCCTTACCTTGGCCATCGTTACTGTTTCTGGCTCTCAATTTACAAAATTTAGCATTTATGACTGCCTTTCCTCCCCTCGCGTGTGTTGGATGGAATCCAGGTTAAGCGGAGATTATTAAGTAAGTAATAAAGTTTAGTCTACGAGGCTGTAAATCTACACCTAACTAAGTGAATAGCACTCGCGTCACACGTGCCGCCAAGCCACCTCTTGCCTCAACTAGCAATCTTATCTGATACAGGACTAGATTGAAGAGGAGGCTAGGTGTGGTTGAATCAAAACCTGTCATCTATCCATAAAGTCTCTGACTGTCAGTTTAGAGCAAGTAGTGAAATGTAGACTGCCTGGTTGGCTTCCTCACGATAGTAAGAACCAATGGCTGAAGACAATTGGTGATATGGGTAGAAATCAATCTAAATGGTGCAAGTGCATTCACTTACTGTTGCAAGCTGAACTGGTGCACTGCCGTGTAGAGTCCTATGCTGAAACTCAGTGAGTCAGTCAGTCAGAACTTAGTGCTGAAAAAGAAGACACAAATTTCTACCTACCTATGTATCAATTACTAATATTAAACAGGGTTATGGCAGTTCATCCTGATAGTTGAATATCGATTAGTTACAGGATTTCGTCATGAGCTGACATCAGTTAGAGAACCATTGGAAAACCTGGGAGTACTGGACAGCTGTTTCGTCACCCCAGTTTGGGACTCTGCATCAGTACGCACCCACACCACAGGGTTCGAACCCAGCACCTTCTGGTTACAAGGCTATTGAGCTCGTAGACCATTCATCAGCCAATGGGACCCGATCCAATGGCCAACCCATGAATTCTAACATTTGCAAATTCATGACATATCGCGACCCCTAGCCAATGTCTTCGGCGAGTATTTGTCCTCACACCCGGCCTTCTGAACCCTACTGGTCACGGCTTCTCACTAGAACCTACCTGAATAGGACAAGTCGCTAGTGAGAATCTCGGGTTTTCAGTGGCTTAATGGTATACGAACTCGCCTTGTAACCGGAAGGTCCTGGGTTCGAATCCCGGTGGGTGCATACTGCTGAAGAGTCCCAAAGTAGGACGAAACATCTGTCCAGTACTCCCAGGTTTTCCAATAGTTCTCTAACTAATATCAGCTCATGACGAAATCCTGTAACCAATCAAATCCCTACAAACCAACACTTGAATATCGATTAATCAAAAAGTCCGGTATAATGGTTTTATTTATATACAGAACCACATATTTTGTATAATATAGGAGGGTAGATTTAATATGGTGTATCAAATTACTGGACTATACACACCTACGCAAAACACAGAATGACTAAGCTTTACTCTCAATCAGCTTAAACAAACTTAATTATATCTACTGTAGTTGATTTGTAAGGATTAGTTTCATTTTTACGAGTTAGTTGATCACGGATTGATATCAGTTAGACAACCATTGAAAACCAGCCACAGGGGGTACTGGACAGGCAACTGTTTCGTCCCCCTAGTTTGGGAATCATCAGCAATACGGACTCGCACTGGGCTGGGTTCGAACCGAGGACCTTCCGGTTATAAGGCCAGCTAGCTGGCTCGTATACCATTCAGCCCACTGGAACCTGATTCAATGGCCACCGCATGAATTCTAACTGACCACAGTATAGACCACTTTACAAAGGGAGATAGAACTCATACACCTGTGGTCAGATCCAACTACTTCGAGTAACACACACACACATCCTGTGACCGATAGTCAGCCGGATATCATGTTTCTGTCTGACTGTTTTTAACATAGAACTTTGCACCGATGTCTGTCTGTCTGTTTTCGACATAGAACTTTGCACAAATGTGCGGAAGTTCAAGTCGCCACATTCCGTGTAGCACGCGAAGCAAGAGAAGAAAGTACAAGAAAAGCATAATAGAAACAGTGAGCAGAGGTGTGAGACAAAGGAGTAATAAAGAAATACAAAACAGTTTCATTGGAGACCATAAGTTACAAGGAGTGGATGCATTTGCGTTAGCCACTGAGAACGATTTTGAGCCATGTCACCAATTGTTTCCAACCATAGATTTTTACCGTCCCGAGGACCCCAGCCTGGAAGTCTACACCTTCCTACGTGGCTTAGACCAACTGTTGTGGATTTCATTGACTGGTGAGGCCAAGTTTTTGTTTGACCGCCGCTAGCTTTTTTCCAGCCTGACCATATATCCGCTGACATTGCTCGTCGAGGGAGGCGATGGCTTGGTATACGTGATACATGTCCTAACCATCTCAGTCTATGTAACTTCACGACTTCGTCGATTGATTTCCCCTGTTTACCTAGAACTCGACGCCTAACCTCCATGTTGCTCACCTTATTATGCCACTTTACACGGGAAATAGAGCGTAGGCATCTTTGATCAAAGACAGCTAGTCTTTTCATGTCTTCCACTCTCAATGGCCAGGTCTCACAGCCAGCCATAAAGGAGGACGGAGCGGAGTGCTCAGCAGTACACCCGCCCTTTGGTCGATAGTCGAACATCTCGTCTACGCCAGAGTCGGTTGCACCGATGTGCAGTAGTTCTATTCCTGTGAGCCATTACCTACGTACACGTACGTTTCTGCTTTAGACCCCATATCAGTTAACTGTAAAACTATACTGGGAATGTCTTAATGTGCGAAATGGATTTCATACTCGTGACGATTAGTTAGAAATTGCTGATAATGATCCAAATCTAATGTGTGAGGGGCTGACCAAAACCTCGGTGCATTGAAGAGTAGGGTTCGAGAAGCCATAGCTCACTGGTTGAAAATCGAGTGCCTATACCCGATGACCCAAAGCCCCAGAGAACCGAGTGAGATGGAAAAGTCCCAGTGAGAAGTAATCAACATTAAAATTAACCATAGAATTAAGAACAACAACAAAATTCGGTCGGATTCAATTCAATACAAACAACGTCAAGTCAGTCAGCTCTTCTATACGGAACGGATCAGAAACTTGGCGGTGGGTCACAAACAATATTTCCAACAGCCTGCAGCAACCAGACACCTTTATCAACCAACAACTGTCTTTGCTGGATCTATACTGAAGATCAATCAGATGGTTGGGCCGGAAAGAATCACCAACTATGGGAACAAACAAACAAACAAAACAAGAACCAATCGCCAAACAACAAATCTGCAGGAGAAAGTGGATTGGGTTGGATTGGACACTACTCGCTGAGGAGGTCGGGCCGCTGGGTGACATCGCGCGAGCGTCAGGCCATTCCTCGAGTGGAACCAGGCCAAAAGCGAAGTGGCGAGTGGGACGTCAGTGCAAGGGTGGGTGACATGAAGGAGATCGTGTGAAGAGTTGAGGAGTTGAAACAGTATGGACTAACTAACATGGATGGTGCAAGTGAAAAGTACATCCGAAGCATGACAGAAGAGTGGCAGGTGGAGATGTGCAGTTGAAGCCCTATGTTCCACTAGGAACCCAAGGGAACAATAATAATAATGATAACATTTAAAAAAATTAAGGGAATTATAACAATAATTAATTATACAAACCTCATGACTACCCGATTCCAAGTCTTCCTCTTCATCCTCCTCCTCTTCATCGTCATCATCGTCCTCATCCTCCTCTTCTTGTTGTTCTTCACCTTCAGAATCCGCTAAATGACTTGTATCTGATTGAGTTTTACCCCATCGTGAAGAATTACTGCTGCTGCTATGTTTTTTATCACGTTTCTCTGGAGTTGATGTAACACCTGATGATTGAAAAAATCCTTGACGTCCATGGCATAAATCATTCTGAGTATTGATTCCCCCACCAGAACTTAATGAATGCGCTGATGATGTATCACTTAGATGTGAAACTCTTGAAGGATCATTAATACTAGTGTTATTGCTATCCGATTTATGTTTAGTAGGCTTCACAGTCCTTTTAATCTTTTTTTTATCGGCTTCAGCGTTTGTATTCGCAACTGACAAGGAGGATAAAGCCTTAGGCAAGGATCCAACACCCTGAGATGATGGTGATTCATTTGATGAAACATCAACAGCACGTGAACCATTACTCTTTGAATTAGATGTACGATCCAGTGAATGCTAGAAATATTTTCACAAAAAAAATAATAATAATAACAATTGAAGAGAAGAATTAAATAAAAAAAATAGGTACAAGTCAGTACAAATAGCTCAGCGGAAGGCAACGTCTCTCTGACTACAACACTCACTGGGTGACGCCAGGTTCAAATCTCAGGTGGGTTATGAGTTCCTTTAGGCTTGCAGTTACGCCTTGTTGATTGGTGTAAGGGCCAACAAGCACGAAATCTAGGTCAAGGAAGGCTTCCTTTCGATTGCCTCTAACAGAATAATCGTCCGTTCGGTAGACCAGCGGTAGAATACTCGCCAATTATGCACGTGGTTTGTGGTTCGACCACCGGCCGACGTACTTATATCCCTCGCGCTTAGTCCGTAGTAGGTCCCATGAAGTGTAAAAATTGGGTGTGAAACTAGCAACCATACGCTGTAAAAAAGACCAACACTACTGGCTATTGAAACTTCAAAACTCAAGCTTCAAGTCTAATGTTCCACTTGAAACGTGAAGGAATAAAACAGAATTCTAAAAAAACAGTTACTGTCGGAGGTCGAGCCTAGGAATCTCCAGTTACTAGATCAGAATCCAGTTATTCGCGAATTCTAACAGTTCACAGTATGGTCCTACCGCCAACAACTATTGTCGATGAACATCAGTTGTTCAGTGCGGTAGTTGCTTAATTGTTAGCATTGACGAGTCAGCGGATTCTAATCCAGTGGAATGAATGGTCAATGACTTCGCCTTGGTGATATGAAAGCCTTTGGTACAAACCCAAGTCGTAGAGGTCAAAAACGCGCTAACTGATTGATTGAATTCCAGCACAGAACACTGTAAAGAAGTGGAGCAATTCAACTCCATTGTAGCACACAAACGTAGAGGAAAAGAAAGAACTTAATCAGTAAGGAATAAGTACGAGGTGAATAAGAAGACCTTGATAGATGAAGGAGTTTACAAAGTTAACGATATTTTCAAACATATCACCAACATTCTGTAGTCAATTGGTCTTAATATCCTTACCTACGTGTCTAGATCAAACCAACTGTCAAAGACTTCACCGATTTGATTTCAGGCTTCGATGTGACTACCACTCCTTACACTTTTCCCACCTAATCATAAATCAGTTAACATTACTCGACGAGGAAGGTGGTGACACGGCAGGCCGTTTCAATTAATGTAACTTCACAACCTGATCCATTGGCTTCCCTTCCTTGCCTATCACTCACCCACCACATTATAGACCACTTTACAGCGGGACAGAGAACTCAACCATCTGTGGTCAAAGACAACTAGCCTGGCTTTCACATGCTTCCACTTTTAGTGGCTGTATGCCTAACAGCAATAAATTAGTAGGACAGAGCCAACTACTTCGAAGTACACACACACACAGAGCATATGATCGATAGCCAGCCGGATATCATGTTCACTTCAGAGAAGACGTAGATCATCGAATGCCACATGAACCTTTTATATCTGTGCGTACTGCTGAAGAGTCCCGGATAGGAAAACAGTTGTCTAGTAATAGTGCGGTGAGAGCTGGCTGTTAGTCAAAACTGGTGGACAGTAATTTACGTCAATGTTTATGTTCCAAATATTGAACAAAGACTGATTCAAAAACAACCACAGCACACTTTGCATAGGTGGACACAGTTAACACATAGATGATCTGACATTCAAGAAACAATCACAAAGAGATTCACGGTTAACAATTTTCTGTGAGAAACAACCATCAATCAGAAGACTCTGTTTGTTTGCTTGAATAAGCTATAATAATGTACATTAAAATCTATAAATATGTGTTGATTTCCTTAATAAACGATCTGTTGCCTGACCCTTGTCTTCTGTTGTCAGAGTAGTAGTAGTAGCACTATTAGCAGTGTCCTTTGGTATTCATCAGTGATTCTCCTTTGGAATGATTAAAATATGCACACACACACACACGCACTGCTATCAATCTTAGGATCTATATTTATATTTATCCACAGTCGTCTAATACACATAAAACGTTTTGTGATATGCATAAAAGTACGATTTTATGATTCAATTGAAAGCAAATTATGATGCATGTAGAAAGAAAAAAATATTTAAAAATATTTGAATCAATATGCCAAATTATTTGTTAGAATGCATATATATATATACATGCATTACCTTAATTTATCTTTAAAACTTTTTAAAGTAATTACAAAAATTTAACATTGTACTTCTTCCCTTAAACAAGTCAAAGCAGTTATATTATAAAATGGTTACACAGATGATAAAATATTATACTATCTAATGTATATTGAACCTCGCCAGACTACTAGCTTGCTAGGCTACTAGCTTTTTAGTTTTCTAGCCGGTCCCAAGCCCGGGTAAAGAGGGAGGATTGGGGCGTGGTGCTAGCAACTCCACCCCTGTAAAACAACCAAATCGCTACAGAAACTTCAACGAATAAATATATTAAAAATTCCAAAGACATAAACAATAGCCTTATTTTTCGCTGGAATCGGGGAAGTGAAATGACGCAGGCTGGTGAAGGCCTTCGAGAAACCAGTCAGCCGATGTGCCTTCTTTCGATGAAAGCAAAAGTAAGGATGGGTACCTGGAATGTTCGTACAATGTACGAAACTGGAAAGGCTGCCCAGATAGCCGCTGAAATGAGAAGGTACAGAATAGAAGTGTTGGGAATCTGAGAAAGCAGATGGAACGGAACTGGAAGGTGCCAACTACCTACTGGAGAGACAATAATCTATTCCGGCCACCCAGAGGACAACCATGAGCACACCGAGGGAGTGGCCATCATGATGTCACCAACAACAGCCAAAGCTCTCATGCAGTGGGAACCAATCTCCTCCAGGATAATGACAGCCAGGTTCAACTCAAAAGGAAGGAAAGTTACAGTCATTCAATGCTATGCGCCTACAAACGTCTCAGAACAAGAGAAGAAGGAGGCGTTCTACAGACAACTACAAGCAATAATGGACAACGTCCCAAATGGCGATATCAAAATCCTGATGGGCGACATGAATGCGAAGCTGGGAGGAGACAACACAGGAAGAGAACTCACCATGGGTCGAGAGGCCCTCGGTGAAATGAACGACAATGGTGAACTCTTCTCAGACTTCTGCGCCTTCAATGATTTGGTGATTGGTGGCAGTGTTTTCAAACACAAGGATATACACAAGACGACATGGATTTCACCAGATGGAAACACCAAGAACCAAATAGACTTCATCTCAATTTCAAGAAAGTGGAGACGGAGCCTACTGGACACAAGGTCGAGGAGAGGAGCAGATGTGGGTTCAGACCACTATCTAGTACAAGGGACTTTCAAGGTGAAACTAAAAGCCTCGAGGATAGCTGGGGATAGGCCACAATGCAAGTTCAACACTCAATTACTGAAGGACACAACCACAAAAGACACCTTCACTGCAACTGTCAGAGCAAAGCAGGAAACACTACGCGACATCACTGAAGAATCATGCGTGGAAGAACATTGGAAGTCTCTGAAGGCGATTCTCAACGAAACGTGTTCAACGGTTCTAGGAAGAAAGAAGAGACAAGACAAGGAATGGCTCTCAACGGACACTTGGAAATTAATAGAAGAGAGGAGAATGGTGAAAGAGAAAATGATTCAATGCAAGGACGGACAAGAGAAGGAGACTCTGAGCTCAACTTACCCAGCACTGGACAAAGAAGTGAAGAAGAGTGCTAGGAAGGACAAAAGACGATTCTACGACAACCTCGCCACTGAAGCTGAGAAGGCAGCAGGCAAAAGGGACCTGAGGACATTATATCAGATAACCAAATCTCTATCCGGGAAGAGATCAACACAAGCGAAACCTATAAAAGACAGCCAAGGGAACCCAATTACCAAGGAAGAAAAACAGATTAAACAATGGGCGGATCACTTCAAAGGACTCTTGAACCGACCATCACCTGCAACCCGTCCAGAAATACCAACAACAGCGCGCACACAACTGCAAGTTGACACCAATCCTCCAACGAGAGCTGAAGTCTTGAATGCAATCAAGCTTCTGAAAGCTGGAAAAGCAGCTGGACCAGATGGAATACCCCCTGAAGCACTGAAAGCGGACCCAGAGATCATAGCAGACATGCTGACTCCATTATTGCAAAAGGTCTGGAAGGAGGGAAAGGTGCCTACTGACTGGAGGAAAGGTTACCTCGTGAAACTACCAAAGAAGGGCGACTTAGGCCTCACTCTGCAAGAACTGGCGAGGAATCATGCTCCTGTCAACGCCAAGTAAAATCCTGAGTCGCATCATCCTGGAGAGAATAAAGGACGCACTGGATACAGAACTCCGACCAGAACAAGCTGGATTCAGGAAAAGGCAAATCATGTTCTGACCAAATTGCAACTCTACGCATCATCATCACAGAACAAAGCATGGAATGGCAATCAAACCTCTACCTCAACTTTATAGACTTTGAGAAGGCCTTCGACGACAGCGTTGATCGTGAAGTAATTTGGAAACTACTCGAGTACTACGGCGTACCCCAAATATTCATCAACCTTATTCAACAGCTGTACGACAACAACGGCACATGTCAAGTGATCCACAACGGAAAACTCAGCGAGGCGTTTGGAGTAAACACAGGAGTCAGACAAGGGTGCTGCTATTATCACCAATGATATTCCTAATTGTGGTGGACTGGATTATACGTCAGACAGTGGGAAACGAGCAGACAGGGATATCCTGGACCGACGTGAAGAACCTAGAGGACCTGGATTTCGCGCGTGGATGATTTATGTTTGATGTCACACAAAATCGAAGACTTACAAGCGAAAACCGACAAACTGGTCGAAGAAGCAGCAAAGACAGACAGACTCCAGGTGAACATAGACAAGACGGAGGTTATGAAAATAACCAACCACCACCAACAGCAGCAACATCCGGCGTCAATCACCATCAAAGGGAGGGATTTGAAAGAGGTTACTTCATTCACTCAATTATCTAGGGAGCATTGTCTCAACTACAGGAAGTCGGAACGGACGAGGATGTCAAATCGAGAATCGAATCGGGAAGGAGAGAAACGCACATATTCATCAACCTGAAATCAATCTGGAAATCTTCGTCACTCATCAACGTTATCAACAACAAAATTCGGTTGGATTCAATTCAATACAAACAACGTCAAGTCAGTCAGCTCTTTTATACGGAACGGATCAGAAACTTGGCGGTGGGTCACAAACAATATTTCCACCAACAGCCTGCAGCAAGCAGACACCTTTATCAACCAACAACTGTCTTTTCTGGATCTATACTGAAGATCAATCAGATGGTTGGGCCGGAAAGAATCACCAACTATGGGAAACTATGGGAACAAACAAACAAAAAAAGAAACAATCGCCAACCAACAAATCTGCAGGAGAAAGTGGATTGAGATGGATTGGACACTACTCGCTGAGGAGGTCGGGCCGCTGGGTGACATCGCGCGCGCGTCAGGCCATTTCTCGAGTGGAACCAGGTCGAAAGGGAAGTGGTGAGTGGGTCATCAGTGCAAGTGTGACATGAAGGAGATCGTGTGAAGAGGAGTTGAAACAGAATATACTATCTAACATGGATTCAGGTGACGAGTACATCCGAAGCAAGACAGAAGAGTGGCAAGTGGAGATGTGCAGTTGAAGCCCTATATTCCACTAGGAGCCCAAGGGTACAATAATAATAATAAGGAGGGATAGATGAGGAATACAAAGCAATCTCAATTTTTGTTTAGCCTTTTACAGGAGTAAGAAAAGACTGACTGTTTATTATTACTGATGATATTCTTAATTCTGGTGGTAGATGATAATGCGTGACAGTGAGAAGAAATGTAGTCCCTTGGACCATCGATAAGAAGACTCTCCAAGATCTGGATTTCACACGTGGATGGTTTATGTTTAATGTCACATAAACTTGAAAACTTGTAGGATGACGAAAACCAACAAACTGGCAGAAGAGTCAGGCAGCAAAGACAGGACTCCAGGTGAATATAGAGAAGACGGAGAGCATATATTATCATCAAAGGGAGCGATTTTGACGAAGGTTACCTCCTTCACTTATCTAGCAAGGCAGCATCGTTTCAACTACAGGCAGTCGGAACGAATGGAGATGCCAAAACCAGTGAGAATCGGAAAGGCAAGATACGCCTTCATCTACCTAAAACCTGTTTGGAAGTCTTCTGCACTGAATCAGCCAGCATAAACTGCAAGATTCACATTTTCAACAATATTGTTAATTCAGTCAGTTCTTCTTTACGGTTCAGAAACTTGGCCAGTGTGTCACGAAAAGGATTTCTAACAGGCTGCAGAATTTCATCAACAGCTGCCTTTGCTGTCTGCATAATGAAGATCAAATGGCCAGATAGAAAGGATTAGTAACACGAAACTCTGCAGTGGAAAAAACCAAAAGGCCAGAGCCGATCGCTCAACAAATATGTGGGAGAAAAAGATGAGGGCGTCGGGCATACATTAAGTAAACCGTCGAATGACATAGCACACCAAACCACTGTTTGAGTGGAATCCGAATGGGAAGCGACAAGTGGGTCGTCGGTGCGAGAGAGACATGGAAGAGATTGTGTGGCGAGGAAGAGATGAGAGTTTGGGCAATCGTGAACCCAGCTGAAGAGAAGATCAGAAAATAGAACAAAGTGGAGATGTGTGGTTGAGGCTCTATGTTCCACTGGGAACCCAAGGGAATAATAATAATAATAATAAAGCCTTTTAAATAAACAAAATCTGAAGGATTATTATTCTTCATTGAAATATTGAGCATCTCACCCTTTTTTTAAGGCAACATGAACAAATTACACTCCTCAAATTGAAAACTTGTTCAGTGAGCTAAGCCAACCTAAACTGGATAAGCATCATGCTGATGTTATCTCCAACTGCATTTATAAATTCATGTGCACCTGCGGCACCAAGTACATTGGACAGAAAATAAATCTGAACGAGACAATATCTTCACTACAACAGCTTCTGCCCTATATAAGCAGCTATAAGCGGAGATTAGTGTAAGGATACTGTACAACAGCGCCAGGAAGTTATGTTCGCCTAACAAGGTAGAAGAATAATTAAGCTCTGTTTGAAAAATGATTAGAGGAAAACGGGTATCCAAAAGGATTTACCCTAAAGTACAGAAGTAAAGAGAACGACAAGGAAGCGAAGTACCCAACAACAGTTGGAAAGTGTTCATTCTTCTTCCATTTAAAGGAGAAGAGGTCCAAAGGCGCAATAAAAAGATACTTCCTTGCAGCTAAGCTGGTGACGCTCTACAGCACTACATGCTCTATAAGCCAATCGAAACTGGATAAACACCCTGCTGATGTTACACCTCCAAATGTAGTTATAAATTTACGTGCACCTGTGGCATCAAGAATATTAAGAGGATAGAAAAAAAGGGTTTCTGTCCACTGTTTTCGGAGCATATTCCAAGAAACTTATGCTCAAAAAAAAGCAGATATTTACAAAGTGTAATAACCAGACACCTTGTGGATACCGGGTCATTTCGTCGAGATGTCCAAATCTTTCAAAATATTAAACATACAAAGGACAGCGAATTTTACTACGATGTGCTGAAGCAATTGCAATCAAACGTTTCAGATCAAACTTATCCACACAGAAAGAGAGTGTAGTCAATCTCTCACTCCTTGGTAATCACACTACTTTAATTACGCTGGTTAGTCATACACACTAGTGAGCTCAGCTCATTGAGCAAGTTTTCGATTGGGCGAATTTTAACCTTCTTGAGTTGCTATGTAGACGTACAAGGTAATACTGTGTTATTAGACCTTTTTGTCTTCTCTCTTCACTCAGCATACCCCCCCTTTTTTTTCAAAGTTTGAAAGCATATAAATTGATGGTAACTAAAAATTGTAATCCTTATACTCCGGATGCGTTCATCTTATAATGTTTTCTCTATTACCTATCACACATTGAAGTATGAAATATTATTACTTATAACCTTTGTAATTTTAGGTAGTTTTGCAGCTGATGAGGACCTGTGAAATAGAATGATGGTATCATTTTATATTGCAAATCCGGTCCTTCTTTCTCTATTGAAATTTATCAAGAGAACCAAATGTATGAAATCACATTCATATATGAATCCTACTCACTCAAACTCCTATGTATGACATGGTTAAGTTGTGGATAGGTAGACTTCTGTCTTCGTCTCAAAATTCTATCATCCTGCGGGGTCATCACACGTCCATAGTCTGCTTCTGTTAGATAAGTCTTATTCACTGCCTTCACATCGCGGCATGGGTGTTCTTCACAAAATTGAGATAGCAAATGCGAACATCTGGTGCTAACAACCCGACAGGCTGGTGTCTACCTAGGGAAGTTGGAAAACTTTGATTCCATATATATGGTGTACATGGGCTGCAAAATCCAAATGGATAGAAAGCCGTGTGTGAACCTGTTTTGGTCACGAGAAATCGTGAGAAGACAGCTCTCCTGTCGCTAGCCAACTGCTTTATCAATCAGACTACAAGTTAGGGGCTTGGAAAATTGTCTCTTGAAATAATAATTTGGGCCTGAGCGTCAGGGTATTATCCCAGCGCTAGCATAAACTATGGGATTTTGTGTAGCTCACCCTATTGATGCCCACATAATGCACCAGGTTTTTGTTTCAGCAAAATAATATATACCCTACTTATGAGGTGGGTGGTGTAGTTGCGAGGCGTTCATTGTCTTACTGCCAGACAACATCCTCCACAGCGCATACTTCAAATTCGAAGTAAGCTTTTCAAATTCCCCACAAGTTTATTAACCACCTCTCCTAGTAACCTTGAGAGTGATTGGTTGTTTTTTTTGGGGGGGGGGGATTTTCTCACTCTCTAATCCACTTGTACTGATATTGATTGTTTTGCTTGACCTGTAAGTTGACCTTTCGTTCAAGTGATTTCCTTTTTTTTTTAATAGATTGGTAATTCTTGTCGGTGTCATTATGTCTGTTGATTGCTTCTAGCAAAGGTAAGGTAGTTAGAACCAAGTACATTTCGATGTGTTTCGACACCAACGGTGTTGTCATACACAATATCGACCTTTTTTATTACTTCAGACTCATTATTCAAATGTACAACATGTATCTTGCAGAATTGTGATTTTTTTTTACCTATTTTTAAACACCATAGGGTTATTCAACTCACTACTTAGTCAGTCATTATTGATTGGTATGACTCAACTACCACACATTTCGAAAACCGGGTCATCCAACAGAATGTCCAACAATAAGCAAAGCTTTCAAGATTGCAGAGTACCAACAACAAAAAATACGAGACCCAGGTCCAGGACTCCCTGTCAATTGCTACCAGTTATCTAAAATCAGTTCATTATGCACCATGATGGCGAGTCACCTAGCATGCCGTTGTGATGAGAGCTGGTTGCGAACAAACCAAAATTATAAACAACAATTTACATCAGTGTTACGTCCGGAATCAAGGTCATGAGAAAAACGATAGCAAAGCTTATCCTTGAGGAACTCACCAACCCAATCACAGAGGAGTTAATGTGTACAAATAGGATTCGCAGATGTACGGCCTAACTTTCTGAGAAACGGTCACAAGCAGTGCAGACTAACCTTGAGCAAGAAAACAAACATGCAGTTATATACTCTACCACAGTGACCAAGTTTTATACTAATATGAATAATACATAATAAGGTGGAATGGCAATGTGTGACTGAAGCGCCATATTCCACTTGGAATCCAGAGACAATGATAATGATAAATACATAACATAAAACAAAATAACTAAATTAGAAAACAACTTAAGCAAATGAAGTTCAGAACAACAAAGTGATTACAGTTAAATAACTAACAGCATTAACACGCTTACCCTGGTCTTATATGGAGCAACCGCTTGACGATGAGTATCAGTAAATGAAACAGGCAAATTCTCACTGTCCAAGTAGTCAATCTTTACAAGAAAGAAAAAGAGAGAGAGAGAGAATAAAGCATAGGAATAATCACACTAAAGAATACATCTCGCGGATGGATTAAGAACAAATCAAAAAGAAAAGACTCGATAAAGCCGTCAAGAGAACTTATTATGCTGCAAAACTTGTTTTCCTTAACACCACCACCAAGCGAGTGCTTCAACAATCTGAGAAAGACCAGTACTCGCCAATCCTCGACACTTCAAACTGCTGCGTATATCAATTTGAGTGTGTGGTTGTGGCAGCAAATACGCATAGGTCGTACGGAAAGGCGATTATCTACTCGCATGATGGAGCATTTGCCAAAATGGTTGAAAACAGCTGAGTGCAAAGTACCAAAATCCACAATAACAAAACATCTTGTGGATTACGGACATGATATCGACGCCGTCAAGTCATTCACCATCGTCAGCAAACAAAGAAACAAGAAGATGCTTGCAATTGCAGAGGCTTGTGCAATTCGAATTTACAAACCAGCTCTCTATATACAAAAGGAGATGGTCGTCACTCTGAATCTACCATGGTAATACGTTTTACTTATTATTCTCTACTTGTTATAACTATTATTCTACTTCTTCTTATTATTATTATTGTTATTATTATTAATATCATTATTATTATTCTTGATTCATTTAAATTTATCTTTTATCAGTAGCATTATCTTAACTCACTTTAACATTATTATTATTGTTATTATAACTATTACTATTGATATTAGTCTGTTTGCAATTCTTGTTATATTCTCTAATGTCTAATTGTTTATGTAAGTGATGTAATTGAAGCGTAATGCAATTTATCTTAATTTTGATCTCTCATACTCTCTCTCCCCTTATCTATTTGAACATGACGTGGAAAACATTCGCACCTGTCTTTCTGCATGACTAATTCAATGCAGTTTATTTACTTATCAGTCTTATATCTCCCAATGTAATTTCGAAAGTGTACATATATCCGTGTATGTAGAGTATTCAGCTGACGAGTAGTTCTACCGAAATTTGATGAATTCATTAAATCATCCTGCTTTATTGCTTGTTTTAAATTCGTATCGGAAAATAAATGTTTTCAAAAAAGATATTGCCTAATACTAGGGCTACTTTGATTGAACACTAGTCAGTAACTAGAGTGATGTGTCTAGTCCTTTCTTTGGTGCGGACTGAATTTTTTCAGTCAGGTTTGCAATGTGGCCACCATTCTAGGTAGCTTGCCATCACGGTGCACATTGATTTGATGATATTAGATGGTTGGAGACAATCGGCTACAGGAAGCCTTGGACACCACCTAGGTTTCGTGCTAGTTGACGCGGGTTTGAATCTCAGAAGGGACATGAGTTCCTTCAAGGTTGCAGATACGCCTTGCTGATGAGTGCCAACTAGCACGAAACCTAGGTCCAAGGCTTCCTGCCGATCGCCTCCAACCATCTAATATCATCAAAACTACGGCTACTTACCATCTAACATAAAAATTGATGATAAACTAGGTAATATTATGAAAAAACACAATTAATCAATAATGGATTCTCCTCCGGTTAACCAAGCTGGAGAATGTTCAAGAATACATTTAAGGACTTGACTTTGCGTACGGACGATATACTTTGCTCCATACAAGTCCTAGGCTCAATAATCATGCATAGACTAAGTGGTAATCGGGAGGCACAAACACGAGAGAGCCAGGCAGGCTTTAGACCAGGAAGAGGGTGTATCGATCATATCTTCACCCTCCGACAGATTCTAGAACATAGGCATTCCTACCGGCGTCCAACAATCATTATATTTCTTGACCTAAAGGCGTCATTCGATTCTGTCGATCGAGAGGTACTCCGGCGATGCTTGGCTGTAAGAGGAATGCCGAGAAAATACATTGCACTGATCAAGGCACTCATTATGCTCGAACTCGTGCAGCCAGGTGAGGGCTTATGGCTAGTTGTCATCTGAACAGGTGACGACTAGTGGTGTCCGTCCGGGTCGCCCATTATCCCCATTTCTATTTAATTTCATCATAGATGTACTGATGGACTTAACCCTAACTGACTTCAGAGACTCAGGGATTGACTTGTTACCAGGGAATAATCTCGTTGACTATGCAGACGATATAGTCTTTCTAGGCGAGGACGCTGACAAAATCCAGCAGTCTTATGAACACCTTGAGCTGCAATCTACGAATGTTTGGCATGTGATTCGCTCCTGTTGTCAAATGCAAGATGGTGTTACAGGACCGGACTACACCGACTCCTAGATTAGAAACAGAAAGTGAAGTGGTAGAGCACTTTGACTACTTCACTTATTTGGGGAGTTGTATCAGCCAACGCCAACGGGTTGATCTCTGATGAAATCTCAGCAGGGATACAGAGGTCTAGTTTCGCAAATGCCAGTTTACGCCGTCTCTATCGTATACGTGATATCCGGCTATCGACCAAAGGGCGGGCATACTGCTCAGAAGTCTACTGTCCTGCTTTATGACTGGCTGTGAGACCTAGCCCTTGAGAGTGGAAGACATGAAAAGATTAGCTGTCTTTGGTCATAGGTGCCCTCGCATTCTATCTGCGGTGTGAAATGGTATAATAAGGTGAGCAATATTGAGGTTAGGAATCGGTCGAGTGCTAGATAAGGAGGGGAAATCAATCGATGAAGCTGTGAAATTACATCGACTGAGAAAGATGTTTAGGACATGTGTTACGCATGTCTCGCCTAGTCATCGCCTTCCTCGATGGGCAATGTTAGCTGACATAGAGTCAGACTGGAAAAGAGCTAGCAAGTGGTGGCCAAACCAAAACATGGCTTCATCAGTCAATGAAATCTACAACAGTTAGTCTAAGCCACGTAGGGAGGTGTAGACTTCCTGACTAGTTGGGGTCCTCGAGACGATTAAAACCGATGAAGGCTGGAGACAATTAGTGATATGGCTCAAACTCATCGTTCTCAATGGCTGGCTCAGATGCCTCCACTCCTTATGACTTATGATTTCCAATGAGACTATATCGTTCTTCGTTATTACTACTCCTTTGTCTCACACCTCTGTTTACTGTCTCTATTATGCATTTCTTCAACTTTCTTCTTTTGGTTTGTGTGTTACATGGAGGGAGTGTGGCGATTTGAACTACTGAACATCGGTGCAAAGTTCTATGTCGAAAATAGACAGACCATACAAGCAAGTAAATTGATAAATACACATTGAAGTGGTCAAAAGCGAAGACTCTCTTCATGAACCTAGAATTCAAAGGTGATATTTCAGCGGAAATTCACAGAAACCGCCTTTCTAAATGTCTGAAGAACACATTTTGCAACAGCCACCCTATGTATCACATTCTCCTGCAGACAGTTAATCCAGTCTAACGCTGAGGACAAGATACCGCTTTTGGCTACTTCAATGTGTATTTATCAATTTACTTGCTCGTGTGGAGCAAAGTATATCGGCCGTATGCAACATCAAGTCTACAAACATATTTCTGGAACACTGTTCAACTTGGTTAGCCAGCCAGAGGAGAAAAGAAGAATAGCAGCAGCTCTATCCTGGAACACATTGTCATCTCCGGACATCGAGCGCCCTCACATGAATGCTTCACAATAATGGATTATGTAATTTATTTTGCCTAGCTAACTAGTGTTACTAGCAGGTCCAAAGTCCGAAAAATACAGAGAAGATTGGGTGTGGAGCTAACAACTTTACTCAGGGAAATCAATCCAATCAATCAGTACAGAAACTTTAGAGTACAGAAAAAAATGATTTAAAAATCTGGGAGGTGAGTTGACTTGGACTTTCGAAAGCTTCAGGGGAAAGCTAGTTGGCAGATGTAACTTTTTCCAAGGAAAGCAAAAGTAGACACAGGGAAATGGAATGTCTATACGATGTTGCTCCTCAGAATGCAAAAGAAATGAGAAAATATTCAAAAAGAGCTGGAAAAAGATCATTGAAAACCTGAGTTTCGCATATGGACTACGGCACGCGTGTCTCATAAGACCAACGATTCACAAGGAAAGACAGGGCTGCAAGTGAGAGTGAAGAAGACAGAGGTGATGAAGATATCTAACCAATAACAAGCACTAATCTTCACTAATAGGAGAAAGCTATGGAATGTTGATTTTTTCACTAACTATGGGCGGTGGCATATATATATATATATATGTATATATTGTTGGATTTATATGTTCAAGCTGCTCCAAGTCAGTGAGTTTATGGTTAAGATATCATTTTAGTTAACTGTGCTGAACTATATTGCATGTTGTCTTATTGTATAGTTGTCGTCGCTTTTTGCCCTTTTTTCTGTGAACTGTTTCCTTTGTTGATGTTGTTCTCATTGTTTGTCCGTTATTTTCTGATTTTGAGGGGAGCAACCCAAAAAGTTGCTTCTCTCTAAACTTTAACTTAATGTAATCATTCTTTTCTCAGGCGTGAGGCTAGCAACCCCACCCTGTAAACAAAATTGCTACAGAACCTTCAGCAGAATGAACCTCTTTGCACCAAAAGAAAAAGTCTGTGTAGGAACATGGAACGTCCGAACTATGTACGAGACAGGGAAAGCTGCCCAGATCGCCAACGAGATGAAAAGATACGGAATACAAGTGCTGGGAATATGTGAAAGCAGATGGAATGGGAGTGGACTCACCAAATTGTCAACAGGTGAGTCAGTGATCTACTCCGGTCACCCAGAAGATAACCACACGCACACCGAGGGCGTGGCTATCATGATGTCACCAACGGCAACGAAAGCCCTGATACAATGGGAGGCGATTTCGTCCAGGATAATGACCGCCAGGTTCAACTCCAAAGGAAGGAAAGTGTCAATCATACAATGTTATGCACCCACAAACAACGCAGACCTCGAAAAGAAAGAAGAATTCTACAGGCAACTACAGGCAACAATGGACAATACTCCAGCTGGCGACATGAAAATACTAATGGGAGACATGAACGCCAAACTGGGACCAGACAACTCAGGAAGGGAACTCATCATGGGTAGAGAAGCTCTAGGAGAAATGAATGAAAA